CCAGGTATTTGTATGATTCTACTATCTCCACGTCACTCCCATGGATACAGAAAGGAGTAGGTTGGACCCTCTTCCTCCTGAAGTCCACCACCAACTCCTTTGTCTAACTAAAGAACTGAAGGATTTAACATGTGAAATCCTGAAACTCAGATACTTAGTACTTTTAGTAGCTAAAAACACTATCACTGATGATTTTACAGCAGAAAAAGAATGGCTAATTGTCTCCGTTCTAAAATTACCAATTGCCTCAGTCACATATACAGTAGGCCCATTTCATATTTGTGCAGACTATTTCAACACAGAATCATTGACAATATTATGTTTGCATTTTGAATTCTTATAATCCACCTTTACTGCATTACGTTTGATTTTGTCTAGACGTTTATTAAGTCAGTTATACCTCCTTTACATCTAGTCATTGTAGCTCATTACAGATGTCTAAAGGGGACTCGTTAAAATGTCTAAAGCTTCTGTGCCTAATTACCTTCAGCATATATGAAGCTAAATGCTATATTTAAGTTGCATTTAAATGGTTTGAATATTGACACAACTTTATAAAGGCCTGAGAATGAAAATTAAAAAGACGAAGAAAATGTAAGCAAAGAACTGTAAAATCACAATATTACGGCTGTGTAAGCAAGTCTGTGACAAAACAAAACAGCTTAACACGTCTCCTGAGTTGGCTCTATCTGGAAAACCACTCACCATAATCCAGATGGTGTGAGTTTTAGCCCAGGTTGTTTTAGTGACTGGTAAGACGAGTCACACTAGTGTCAGATAAGACTTCATTTAGTAAACTGTGTACATTTCTGGTCACCGTGTTATAAAATGAAACATTTTTTTTCTCTCTGGAACCAGTCCAAAGAAGAGATTACATTTTGAGGCTCAAAGGAATGTCCTACACTCGGGCTAAAAGAGCTGAACCTATGTGTCCTGAACAGATGTCCTGAACAATGTCCAGGACGATGTCCTGAACAGATAAGACAAAGAGGGGAGCTGTTCCAAGTATCCAAAATCCCCAAAGCAACTGACGAGGTCAACCCAGCAAACGTCCTCAGACTAAACAGGTAGGAAAGGAACATGAAGCAGAGGACAAGAATGGAAACAACATGGAAGTGCATTTAAAACTGAGAGCAGGAGGCTCTTCCCTACACAAAGGATTGTGGGAGGACAGAACCAGCTACCCAGGATGTTACTGAAGCCGAAACACTCACTTCCTTCATGAAATGGCTGAAGGAGATTCTCGGATCAATAAGATCCAAAGTACCGAAAAAGCTAAATGTGCTGCTTGGCTTCCTTTCGTTTGTAGCCTTTCTACTGGTCTTAGCCATCGCCAGCCAGCTGTGAACAGGACTCCCCAAGCCATGGCTGGGAGAGGCCAAGTTCTGGGCTCCAAGCACAGGCAGTGATGTCTTCGCAACCTCCTGCACATGACTTAGAGTGTGTTTTGTGTGTAAAAAGACAGGGGGCTTGAAGGACGAGAGGTTAGGAGATGACTGTATGAGCTTCCTCATTTGTTCCATGTGGATACAGAGGGCACTGCTTGCTATTAGCTGAGATCCAACCATGCTTCATCTCCAAACATCCAAACTCATGATTATTTTGTGGGCGTCGACTTTCAGTGGCTGATCAGTTTACATGTCTTTATCAGATGTTGGTAGCATGAACTTAATTTCAATCAGCTCTTTAATGGACTCTGGTTTTATTATTATTTAGCTGGCACCTTAATGGAAGTCAATGTGCTTCAACATGTGATTCAAACAGGTACAAGTAATAAGCTCCATACCTCACGTAATACGGTACATGTACAATGCAGAACAAATTGGGTGAAATGGGGTGAAACAGGATATAAAACAATCTGTGAAGTGAAAGGGGACTGCAATAATATCATTATCAACAGATGCAATACAGAAGCAAATCGTTGAATCCTAATGTGCATTTAGTTCTCAGGAGCCATGAGCCATGGGGTTAAATTAAAATGTTTGGGTTTTTTTTAACACACAAGACTCAATTTCATTTGTAACATGTAGGATTAATATTAAAATAGCTGAATGTGAGCGACAACATGCACAAAAACTAGGGGGAATAAGCATTTGTATTTGAGGAAGAGTATTTAAGACATAATAATAATTGCTTATTATTTCTGGACACTCCACTCAAAGCGCTTTACAGGTAATGGGGACTCCCCTCCACCACCACCACCAATGTGGGGCCCCACCTGGATGATGTGACAGCAGCCATAGTGCACCAGTACTCTCACCAAACACGAGCTATCAGTGTGGAGGAGGACAGAGTAATGAAGCCAATTCATAGATGGGGATTATTAGGAGGCCATGATTGGTGAAGGTCAATGGGAAATTTGGCCAGGATGCCAGGGTTAATTACCTACTCTTTTTGAGAAACACTCTGGGATTTTTAATAACCACAGCAATCAGGACCTGAGTTTAATGTCACATCTGAAGGACAGTGCCTTTTTACAGTATAGTGTCCCCGTCACTATACTGGGGCATTAGGACCCACATGGACCGCAGGGTGAGCGCCCCCTTGCTGGCTCCACTAACACCTCTTTCAGTTGCAACCTTAGTTTTTTCCAGGAGGTCTCCCGTCCAGGTACTGACCAGGCTCACACCTGCTTACCTTCAGTGGGCTGCCAGCTGTGAGCTGCAGGGTGACTACACAGGTATTGCCTAAATGAAGAGGGTTCTGATGGAAAAGGCTGGTATATATCCGGTATAGGCTAGTGGGATATCATTCACATGTGAAACGTAAAAAAACTGCTGCACCACAACGGAATGGTGTAGGAGTAGCGTGTGATTGTGGTGTTTAAAATTCCTAATGGAAAATGCGTTTACGTTACCTCGTTAGCGTGATCTCGACGGTGACGGTTTGAGAATCCGTTGCAAGAGCGCTACATTGATGTTATGTGAGGTGAAGAGTTGTCCACAAGGTCAGATGCCTCTCAAACATCCGCTCTTTCCCGTCCACTTTGATCTCTCGATTGACAAACCAAGCTCTGTTAATAATCATAATCACATGCATCATTAACATAAGCGCATTTCAAATAGGTACACATTTAAAATAAAACATAAATAAATTAAACTGACATTTTAAAATGGAAATTCTGGCTGCTTACACTGTTATAATAACATAAAATGTAAAACTTTGAACCCAATCAAAACATTGCTATCTTCGCAGTAAGCCGAACATGCTTGACAGCTACTTTCTATACAGAACTGCGTGTATACACGTGGCAGTCCATTAAGACAATGTTACTTGCCCAGCAGAGAACCAGTTAAAATTTAACCGACCAGAAGACCGAGAAACTCGGCTGGAAACGCCCAGTAACTTTACGTAAATCCTTCCTACTTAGCAGGACTTACGGTTTGCATTGCCTGTGCGATAAAGAAAAAAAGGAGCTACCGCTCGGACTGAATTTGCAGCCGGAAAAAATCACACTGCGCCTCTTTTGAAATCGAGCCTCTGAATTCGTGACAAAAGCCATATTCATATGAGGCTTAAAAATATAAACTTGAGACGTAAAATAGAAAACGTATCTTGAAGGTACGGAACTTTTTTCACAAATAAAAAAGGAAAACAAAATCACGATTGTAATGATCCAATAATTGTGGGGGAACCAATCGATTTTGTAAAGCAACAGGGGAAAATCCTGACAAAGCAGGAAAACCTGCCAGACTGTGAAAATGTAAGTCGTTTTCTACCACGGGTGTAACTGTAATGCTGTCGACAAAGCTGTGGCAGGTCTGCTCAGACCCTCAGACTCCACACTTCAGCTCAAGCAGCCGAGCGAAACCTCTGTTTATGTTGCCTCAGTTTCTGCTGTCCAGCTGCAGGGAAAGGATGCATAGCACGTGTACTGGGCGTGTCTTTACGGGCCACGTCACCAAGTTGGCTTTCAACCTGCAGCCAATCATCTATCGAGGGGATGGAGTATTCCGCCTCTAATTCAAATATATGCAAAATAGTCACTTCTGCAGCATCTAATTGGATAAGAACATAAAACTCAACCAATTACGTGAGGGGAAGGCGGGAGCTAGCCATTGAGAGCGCCGCCTCTTGTTTTTTTCAACGTCGATCCCGGAAGCGTTGTTTTTAAAGAGACAGTCATTTTTTTTTTAGGGGGGTGGGGGCACGTAGGGAAACAGCTGAAGGAAGCCCGAAAAATCGCAGGGAGAGACCGAGAAGGAAGGACGGAGAGCGAGAGAAAGGAGAGACCGAGGGAGATAAAAGAAAGAGAAGGCAGACAGAAGGGAGAGCGGCGAGATTTTTTTCCTCCCCACCCGCAACGAACTTCTTTTCATTTGAAACGTTCCTCAACCTAAAGAAGTAGAACGAGACGCTAGATGAATTTAAATGTCATTGTTCTTCACCCATCACTCGCCTCCCTGTTAAAAAAAAAATCCTCTGGTGTTTTTGATTTCAGCGCAGACGAAAGGCATGTTGGTTTAACCCCTTGAGTGCCGAGTGCTTGTGCGGCGGGTGAGTAAAACAATGAGTGTAAGATTTGCAATGTCTCTCTCGCTACTTGTCCCTTCAGGACAGCTTTATATCTGATACAGGTCTTCATTCGCAGTGCTCCCTTGTTCTTGGCACGGGAAAACCACATTAATTCTCGCGTCTCGCATTGTCGACCAGCTCATTCATCTGAGCCACAGTGTGTCACAGACTTGCCACACGGTCTCTGGGGTGCCTGGAAGGAAAAAAAAAAAAGCTCTTTTTAATGAACTTCAGCATGCTAACGCTGAATCCACCAGTATCTTGGCTGTTAGGTCGCAAGTCCGTCGCCTGTGTTCCCCTGACTGTTGAACGTGGTTTCTCTCAGCCCTGTAAAGCAAAAAAATGTTCCATTCTGTGGTTAATAAATGTGACATTTACATCAACATATTTAGATCAACACAAAATTGAAGACTTGATACGTAACGATTAAGGCCTCCATAGGTGGCGTTTATGTGCTTTTGTCCTATGATCCAGCAAATTGCCTAATTCTGATTTTCATTAATGCAGTTTGCCCAGATTTTCCTTGTGATTGGTCATAAAGCCAGCGTGTGACCGCACGATAGTTGAGACAAGCGTGACAGTTTCCAGGATTTGGGCTTGAAAAAGCAATATCACGCTGACGGGTGTGATAGACGTTTAAGGAGGAACTACTTTCTGTGAAAAATTGCCACCTGTCAAATACTGTTGTTACTTTGGTTAATTCGGTTTCGAGAAAATTGATGGTATATCTTCTGTGTTTGTTAAAAATGAGTAGCTTCAGGAAGAAAAAAGGCATACTGGTTCTCTGTCAGGTAAAATTGCTCGATAATTTGGTGTTGGAAGGTGGATGTCAGGTAAAAGTTTCAGATCTTGATTTTGTAGTTCTATTTTAATTCCATGGTTTAATTGCAATCAATCAGAATATTTTTTAAAGTGTAGAAGTGTGATGGTAGATAATTTTCTTCTGTTGCAGTTCATTTTCCAAAGGGCCATTTTCTATTCAGATGTCTTTGTTGTAAGTCTGTTGCTGTGCGGTCAGATGGGTTTATCGGGTGTATAACATACCCAAAGAATAAGCAAGGTTTTGTACACCTGAATGCACGGTTCGAGTCCTTAAACTTGCAGGGCCAGTGGTTTTCTACAGCAGCTGGGAACGCAAGTGAAATGTAAAACTTTGTCAGACAAAAGACATTTAGGGACTCCTCAGCTCTCATTGTAACTTCTAACTAGCCCAATGGCAACAGGATTTATTGGTATAACAGAGCATTGTTGATGATTTACTAGGTTAACAAGGAAACTGAAAAGCTGCACAGAACAGGCTTCATCCATTTCTGGTTTTACAATTTGCAGACTCATGTAGAAGCTAATGGGTGCTGATCATCTCAGTGCTTTTTTGAGCACATTTGCATAGATAAATGTGAAGTTTATGCAAGACCCTGTGCCTTTTAAAGCCTCAAACACATGAAACTGTTATGCAAAGGATGTTTTATTGGTTGCCTGAGGTTACTTTGGGGCTGAGATGGTTAGACAAGATAAATATTTTCGAGGTGAAGTAAGTTGTAAGTGGAAAGCATTGAATTTAAATAGAAGTAAAAATAAACACCCCTTTATCTCTCTGTATTTGCTGCTGTTACAGCTTCTCCCAGTCTCTGTCCTGCGTTCAGCCCTGAGAGTGACACTTTGGAGCGTTCACTTTTTGTACGGCTTGCAGAATCAAGTGTATGAAGTTATAGATATGCAACATAAAGGAGAAGTGCGTCATTATAGTCTCAACTACTGATACTTGAACTTGTTTTGCCCTGATCTTTCCTTAATGCATTTCATTGGCTTGACAACTCTAGAATGCATAGTTGCTTGATAACTCTGGAAAAGTTAACTTTAAGATATACACTGCTGAGTTATTTGCTTCTGCAAATTGTAACCCTGTACAAATGTAAGTGTCTTAAGTGTTTTGTGCACTCTAAAACATCTGTGTTAGAGCTACATTGTAAACCAATTTGAGCTGAGTACTGCATACAGGTGCAGTTGGCATCATGCAAATATTCTTTTTTACTGTCTAGTCTGATGATTAGACTTTATGCTCACATAGTCTCCGCCATATGCTTACCGTTTCCTGCTGCAGTGTTATTTGAAAGAGCACTTGGAGAATAAGCTCACTATTTAAGAAGTTCTGAAAAATGTTACATTTATTGTAATCGTTTCTCTCCAGATGATATTGTACACTAAAATTGTTATGTTATAATCCAGTCATTAAATTATGTTATATCATTAGTTCATCGATGTGCATGCTTGGCCGCACTGACATTAGTTTAATTTCATCCAGTAGATGGTGAAAAGATGATGCCATCTGATATTCAGTGATTTATACATTTGCAGTATTGGAATTCTGTACCTATAATATGTGCCTTTCAGTTTCCTTTCAGCCACCATTTTGTCAACTTAACTTTAAAGAATAAAGTTAACATTGTTAAAGTTCCTGTCTTAATCAAGTTGTAAGCTGTGTTTGGTGTATACTGACAGAATTTTTATAGACAGGGAAGCAAAATTCACCAGTGGGTCCTAACACTTAAATAAGAGAACAAGAAATGCACAGTTGCATTATAAAGAGTAAAAATTAAGCCAAAATTATTATTAAACCTAGGAAACAAAAAGCAGAAGTGGAAAATAAACGGCTAAGAGACTATGCATTTTAAGCGATTTTAAATTTTGCTGTCAGATAATGAATCTGTTAGCACGTTGTCAGTCGTCATGACCCTCTTGTGTGACAAGTGAAAACGTAAGTTTATCGATGTTAGGTTGACTGTGCATTTTGGATGGAGGAAATTTCGAATTAAGTGATTTTGCTGATATTGAAAGGTATTGTCCTGATATATAGTTTATAGAAACAAGTTATAGCTTTATACATTGCTCTGTTATGTTATTCAAGTTGATCGGTAGTAGGGAAAGCAGCTTCATGAAAATCTGTATATGGAAAGTCATATACCAGTGTTTTATCTTGTCTATAGAGCTCTGACAGACCAAGTAGTTGTTAAGTAGCTGCAGCAATTTAAGGATTGTTGGTTATATCTATCACTTTTGCTGAGGCATTAATGTATACACCCCTGTTAAATCGCATGTGGGATCTATTCTGGTGTGTTCTGCATCAGTTTATATGCAGGGCCTCAATGGGAATTTGAGTTTTTTTTTTGCCTTCAGCCATTTTTCCATTTAGAAATCATTCTGTGATGAATCACTGATTTTCATCTTATCTGTGTCTTTATGAGCTCTCTCCTGTTTCCCATCATTGTGGTTGCAGCTCTGTTTTGTTACACACAAAACCCAGAGGGCCTGTTTGTTAATCGCAATCGGTTTCTTCTTAAAAAAAAAATACTGACTTGGCCTGTTAGAATGAAGTGGTTTAGTAATATTATGGTAGAAAAAGTTTTGCATCCGTACAGAAATATACAAGATTCTAGGTAATTGTCTTGTTTATCGTGTTCTCTATCAGATGCTGGTGTTCAGCATAGATTTCAATCTCCTGGACCTCTTAGGAGTCCCATTAGAGTTTACTCCACTTTTCCTTTGGATTTAGGACCTAGGAATTACTTTCACTTGGGATAACAGTTGCTTTTGTTATTGAGGGCATCATCCTCATCATCATTTTTATCTCCATATTAAAGGTAGGGAGACAGAATCAAGCCATGCCTGATACATGCATTCCAGAGTGGATCATGTGCTTATGTGGATAGCAGAACAAAGGGAGAGATGAGCTGCAAGCTGTTATATTAATCAGCTGCAAGAGAAAGAGTGACATTCAAAGGGGTCGTCCAATAAGTTCTGTTGTGCAAAGGAAGGGTAAGTAGTTTGCAAGTAAACGATGATGTCTTGATATCCCCTGTGGACAAAGCAGGCTGTCTTAGATTCTAACAAAAGGGGTCAGGGAGCTTGGTGTTTTAATGACCTGAAAGCCTTCTGTACTTGAGCAGCTTTGACCCAAGCCTCAAGGCCTCTTCTTCAGTACACTGCGACTTTCTGAAAGGTCCTTTTGTTCGACACTGCAGATTGCAGTTATAGGGCCACACCGGATATTCCCATCAGCCTTTCCATCAGAACCCTCTTCATTTAGGCAATGCCTGTGTAGTCACCCTGCAACTCACAGCTGGCAGCCCACTGGAGCTCAGCAGGTGTGAGCCTGGTCAGTACCTGGATGGGAGACCTCCTGGGAAAGTTAAGGTTGCTGCTGGAAGAGGTGTTAGTGGGAGCAGCAGGGGGTGCAGTCTGGGTGGGTCCAAATGCCCCAGAATAGGGACACTATACTATAAAAAGGCACCGTCCTTCGAATGAGACGTAAAACTGAGGTCCTGACTCTCTGTAGCCATTAAGAATCCCAGGGCATTTCTCAAAAAGAGTAGCAGTGTTACCCCGGTGTCCTGGCCAATTTTCCCACTGGCCTTTATCAATCATGGTCTTCTAATAATCCCCATCTTTGAATTGACTTCATCATTCTGTTCTCCTCCCCACTGGTGTGTGGTGAGTGTACTGTATGCACTATGGCTGCTGTCATCATCATCCAGGTGGGGGCTGCTTATTGGTGGTGGTGGAGGGGAGTCCCCATTACCTGTAAAGCACTTTGAGTGGAGTGTCCAGAAATGCACTATATAAGTGTAAGGAATTATTATTATTAATTATTATTATTATTAACAAATATGTCCACAAAAATGTTACGAAAGGTGGCCCTGCTACTATATGAAAAACATTCCTGCACAGTCCTTTACATTTTCCTGTACTAAGCTCTCAGCCTGTAACCTGTAACGCTTACAGATGACCTTGTTAAAATGCACAGCACATTTTGATGTGTGGCAGCTGTTGTTAGTCAAATACACACATGTGTTTCCCTATCAGTTTTTCAAGGACCACCTGGGGATTTGCCCAGTGCAGATCACATCTCAACTCCTCCGAAAATTCTGTTTTGGTGCTGCTGTTGTTGTTGTTGCCATTTCTTGCCATTTTTCTCTTAGAGTCCTGAGCTTAACTGTGTAGGTTATAGTTAAGTTCCATCCTCTTTCACCTCCCCCTTCAGTAGCACCCCAATACACTCTCTCAGTACATAAGAAATACAAGAGCACATAAGCATTCATCTGTGCTCCCTACTGACACAGTTCTAGTCCAACATAAACTCCTGTAACTCAGGTTACTGTCTTTTTGTATTTTAGGTACTTGAATTCATTCATCTGAAAAGCTGCACAGAACCTATAAGTATTCAGAATATAAACCGTGTTCATATATAGTTATTTGTTGCCATATGTTAACAAAGAACGTGCAGCACGGTTATCGTTGCTCAAGTACAAATTCTATTTTAATAAAAATAGAATAACCAAATCCCCTTATCTCATTTGTGATAACGGAGAATTTGAGTAAGCTGTGAAACAAATTGAATTTACCCCTGTGAGGACTTCCTTCCCACTGCTAGCAAAGTCCTCCGAGGCTCTTGAGAAATTTCATGGCATGATCAACACTTACCTGGCAGTTTGCTGTTTGAAGCTGATGCAGCCTATTTTGAATACATAATTCAGGTTGATTACTGTAGCAGTTAGCCTCCAGCCTTCAAGAATTATGGCCACTTTAAACAAATTATTGTATGTTGGCATATAACCAACCAGAAAGATGAAATGTTTTTGTATGCATTTTCACATTCTGACGCCAAGTTGTAGCCATTCATAAACTTGTAAATGCGTTTCTTAGCCCATCAGTTTTGCTTCACAGGAGGAGGGACGGTTCTGTGTCGCTGATTCAGATCTGATGCTACTGTATGATTCTTGCGAGTGATTGTTTGCTGATGTAAAGCCCTTCCTTGAATACTATTGTGAAATTCAATTACGTTCACAATTTACTGCTGTGGCTCTCATCTCTGGTCCTGGAGGAACACTGGCTCTTCTGGTTTCTGGTACAGCCAAAGTCCTAATCGCAGGCCAGGGGATTTCAGTTTTTGTTTTGAGACATATTTGCAAATGTTTGCTTTATTTTCACTTCTTAAAAGGTCAAATAGGATTTGTAATTGATGTCAACTCTGTACTAATTTTGGAGTTAAAGAACAGGCCTCATGGAGGTTTGGTGTCTGAAATGTATCCAACAGGACCCCCGCAGAATGACAGACAGGTCACTGGGAAGAGGGTCTGATACAGTGTTTTTCCCACCGCGGCCGGTCGGTCATCGAATAAGGGCTAATAAGGCAGATCAATCAGAAATAAAGGCAAGCCAATTGAAGAGAAGCTGTGTGCTCATGTAATTGGAAACAGTATCCTTGAAGTCTGGTATTGTAGCGGGTTTGTGTTCTTGGGGGTTTCTGCTCTCGCCGCTCCTGCCCCAGTTCAGGATCGAACCCGGGTCTTCGGTGTCACTTCGGCCTTCTTCAGCCCGGGCGGCCACCATCCCCGCTGTGCTCGGGGGAGTAGAGAGCGGCACTGCCCCCGCGCCGCGACCGGCTCGTACAACCTGTATGTCAGCCGTTCGTCGCGGTGTGTTTGACACAAGCTCAATCAGAGTCTGAACAAGCAGGAAGATCGGTTACTGTAAGTCATTGCTGAGCACCTGCGATCTCGAGCACGGCTGGAATGAAAACCAGCGGAGATGGCGTTTCTCCAGGAGCCAGGTTGGGAACTACTGGAACAGACTGCGTCCTTCATTCCCCCTGTGGAGATCTAGGATTTCAGTGTGGGCAAATACGAGCAGTTTCTTCCACCAGAGCAAAGCGTTATACTCCACACATCAAATGAGAAGAACCCGTTCTTTCTATTTTTCTACTACTTATCATTCTAGTTTCTACTAATTAAAACTCTATTAGAATTCCACCACTGGCATTGTAGAGGTTGCGTGAAGTCACAGCACAGTTTAGTGAAGGTTTGAAATAGGCCATTTTCTGGTGAATACCCAAGAAGACCCACAAAGTATGGTACTCTGAGGTCCTTTATTTCGAGAATGAATGGGGGCTTAGAAGATATCTAAGTATGTGCAGTAGAACCTACAGTATTGATGTTGTTTCCACACATGGTGGAAAATCCTTGTATAGGTGGCTATTTTTGAGGTTATCCCTGCCCTTCAGTTATTCCTGAAATGTCGCATAAAACGAATGTCTGAGTACATTTAGAATGGAAAAAACACAGATCAGGCAAGATTCTACAAAATGTTGTCTGTAATATCCATTGTGCAGGCTGCATGTAGAGGTACAAAGTGTACAAAGTTAACCTAATTATAACTTTTGGAAGTGGGAAGGGATTTTATTGGGACAACCAATCTTTTCCTAGAGCCAGTGAGAGAATATAGGTATTGCTATAAAGCACGATTAGTGGGCTATCCTGGTAAGATGTGTTTGCAGTACATATTAATACCTTCTTTTTAAAAAAAAACTGAGGTTAAGAAAGAGTTCTAAGTGTTCTTGAAGATTACACCTTAAAGGACACTCTTGTACTATCACGGCAACTCTTTAAACAGAAACAAACAGTTTCTTCTAAACGGGTACACATGATGTTCTGTAATAGTCCACAAATATGCCATCTCCAGTTTCAACGCTCCTAAAGGGGGATGGAGAGTTTCTATTAACACTTGATTGTTTTATCGTCGCCTCACTTAGAAGTTAATTCAACCTGTACAATAAATACCACTGGAAATGAATTAAACTAGTTCCTGTTTAAAAATAAAGCAAGCTAAATACATTCTTGCTCCAACTTCCAGGGTCTTCCCAACATAAAACATGTTCAGAGAATGCAGATTTCAGATTTTTTAGTCCTTACTAACGAAGCTCCATTACGCAAGCCTGCTTTCAGCTGTGGGCCACTGAGCTCTGTAATTTTGAATTGATTAACAGTCTTGGAGGTGTCACCAACATTAATGTTTAATGTTGTCATTTTGAAAGTCTTGCAGTGTTCTGTTGCCTTTGCCCTGTTAGTGCAGATGGAGTACACCTCAGCACACTTACCCGGCGTTTCTTTGGTTGTCTCTGCTTGTCGTGACTTGTTTAGACCTGCCAGAGCTCATCCACAACATGTCTTGTGCTTGTTCCTCAGAGCTTTCCTCGGGCATCTCGATCGCAGTTTGTCAGCCCTAAAAGCAATTTTAGTAAATACACTGGAACGTGAGCTTCAGTATCTCTTAGTGTAGTGGTCCATGGAATTTCTTATTTTGATTAATTTATTTACATGCCAGATATGTGATCTTAAGAGGAGAGTGTACGTGTCTATTTTTAGTAAACTGACACTGATAAATGGTATAACTTTAGTGTTACCAAACTCCTGAACATTTCATTTCATTTGATCGGTGTGGGAAAAGTAATTGATTTGAGAGTAGTCTGCTGTCCAAACCTCGGGTTATGGAGCCAAGAAAAACCCCAACTAAACAATTGAGAAAGCAGGATTGGGAAATGTTCTATTTACTATGAAGAGTGTGAACTGCCTTTTGTGATGAATGCCATAGTGGGGAAAATGGTCTATAAATCGGTGAAACACATACTTTTAAGTTCAACTGCTGACCGTATTTTGAACTAAAAGAAATAAAATGAGAGGCTGAATGTAGAAGTATGTTCCTATCAAATCTGCACTGAGTTCATTTCCAAACTATTTTTGGGTGGATGGACCCCAGTATTACAGCACTGCCTTGTCCTGTCACTCTGTAGTGCAGCCATTGCGAAGTTCAAAGAAAAAAAATAGGAGTTCCAGGTTGCTGGGTGCTGTGCTAAGAATTATACATAAAGAGCATACAACTCATGCTTTGAATAACTCTTTTATGGGTCCGAGTTAATAATAATAAGAAGAAATAAGGATCATCGCTTATTTATAGACTAAAACACCCTTGAATACTTTGAA